GGGACCTCAGAGGACTTGAACTTGCTGTGAGTAAAAAGTTTTGTTCATGAAAAAGGCAGCCATTTTCAAACACCACATGGCTCACATTGTTATTTGTTTTTATGTGTTTTTGTTTGTTTGGTCTTTATACTTTCCACTCTCTTTCTCTTCTTTGTTCCTCTTTGAATACATAAAAATGGTAAGAAGAAAAAGGAGCCATTCAGGTGCCTCTGGAGTGCCATTGTGGTCATCAGTTTGCAGTCTTAACATCAGAAGTAACATCCAGGCAGATAGAGGTAGGCCTGCAGGCCAGTGCAGAAGGCTTACAAAGCAAGGCTTAAGGAAGAATCCGTGAGAAGCAGTGCCTGTTAACGTACTTGTCATCATGTATGTGTAAAGAGGTTGGATTCCTGATTGCTCAGAATTGGTTCACCCTTTACAGATTAAGAGTAATGACTCAGAGCTGCCTCCTTCCACATGATAAGCTAGGTGGAGGAGAGTGAAGGGCGAAAGGAGGAAATGAGAGAGAGAGAGAGATAAACTTGAGAATGAATGAATGAATGATGAATGGATCGGACTGAATGAGTTGCCTTCCCAAAGTAATCTAGTAATATTTTTTCCCACTCCTCAAATTTCTCTTTAGCATGATGATTCAGATTTCACCATACTTTGCCTAAACTCTTTAGCTAAAGCTTTACATATATTTGCAATATGTGAATATTAGAAATTTTGTATGTGTTTGGATATAGAGCAGTGTTAGAGATTTGAGCTGAATTGTTTTTTGATGAATGCACATGGAAACTGGTTTTTGGTGCCATTTCAGGTTAGAATTGATACTATGCATTTTATATAGTATGATTTCTCTAAACCAAGCATCAAAGCAAGGAGCATAACTTGAGTTTTGCACTTGCTTGCCTGAGATCCATGGATATTTAGGTTCTCCTTTCCTGAGAAATTAGTTTTTAACAGATCAGCATTGACAAATAAGGTAATAAAATATAATTAGATGTTTATAATTTTTCAATGAATAAATAATAAACCATGCAAGTTCCACAGTTATTTGTATCTATTTTATTTATGT